TTTTTTTTTTTTGAAAATTGAAATTGCATCTGTCCAGTCTTCTGGAATGTCTTTCTCTGTGCTTCCTCAAAGATCATTGACATAGCTTCAGCATTCTTATTTGAAATTACTCTCATTTTTCTTGGTAATAATTCCTCTGGCCCAAGATACTTGAACTCCTGTTAAAGTAGTTCAGTTCTCACTTACTACCCCTTTACTCATATTGGGCTTCAGTTCCCTCTGGGGAACTGAGAATGCAGAAGCAAAAATAGTAATTGAGGAATTTTACCTCTGTCATACATCATTATTATACTGCTGGCACAGGGCAGAGACCTATTTCTTCCTCATTCAGCTTTTTGTTCTGAATGTATTTGAAAGTGCCCTTTTTGTTCTGTGTTTGCACTGTGAGATTTAGCCTTCTTAATACTATTTTTAAAGGTTCTTCTGCCTCTGTCTTTTTTTAGGTTTACAGTTCTGAGTTTTTTTAACAGCTTTATTGAGATCTAATTCACATACCATAAAAATCACTCATGTAAACTGTACATTTCAGTGGATTTTAGTATATTCACAGAGTTGTGCAACCATCACCACAATCTAATTTTAGAACATTATTATCAACCTCAAAAAGAGACTCCATACCAATTAGCAGTCACTCCCCATTCCCACCCCCTTCTCTAGCCCTAGGCAACCATAACCTGTATTTCGTATAAATATAGTCATAGAATATGTGGTCTTTTGGGAGTGGCTTGCTTCACTTAACATAAGATTTTTAAGGATCATCCACACTTCATTCACTTTTATTGCAGAATCATATTCTAGTGTATGGATATACAACATTTTGTTTGTATCAGTTGCATCCAATTTGGCTATTTTGAATATTGCTCTCTGAGCATCTGTGTATAAGTTTTTGTGTAGACAAATGGGTTTTTTTGGTTTTTTTTGTTTTTGTTTTTTAAAATTTTTTAGAGAGAGAGTGAGAGAGCACGAGTCGGGGAGAGCGGGAGAGGGGGAGAGAAAGGGAGAATCCCAAGCAGGTTCCATGCCAGCATGGAGCCCAACATGGGACTTGATCCCATGACCCTGGGATCATGACCCAAGCCAAAATCAAGAGTCAGACATCCAACTGACCAAACTACCCAGGCGCCCCAGTGTAGACAAATGTTTTAATTTCCGTTTAGGTATATACCAAAGTGTGTAACAGCTGGGTCGTATGGTAACTTTTTAAATTTATTTTTTTTAATCAAAATGTAATTAATATACCATAAAATTCACCCCTTTAAACTGTACAATTAAGTAATTTTTATATATTCACAAAGTTGTGTAACCATCACCACAGTAAGTTTTAGAACATTTTCATCACCCCAAAAAGAAAACCCACACACATTAGCAAGAAAACCCACACGCATTAGCAGTCATTTCCTATTTTTTCCCAACCTCCCCCCACTCCCACCCTGCCTGTCTATGATTAATCTTCTTTCTGTCTCTACAGATTTGCCTATTCAGGACATTTCATACACATATGATCATACAATATATGGTCTTTGTGACTGGCTTCTTTCACTTAACAATGTTTTCAAGGCTCATCCATGTTGTGTAACATGTATCACTACTTCATTGCTTTTTATTGCCGAACAATATTCTATTACATGAGTATATTAATACTATTATTAATTATTAATACATATTCATATATATATTTATCCACTGATGGACATTTGGGTTGTTTCCACTTTTGTTTTTTATGAATAATGCTGCAATGAGCATTGATGTACAAGTTCTCAAGTGGGTGTATGTTTTCATTTCTCTTGGGTCTATACCTAAGAGTGGAATTGCTGGATCATGTGATAACTCTGTGTTTAACTTTTTGAAGAACTGCCAGACTGTTTTTCACAGGGACTATACCACTTTAACTTTCTTAGGATTGTTATTTTTAGAAATCTAATTCTAGTTCTAAAAATAGGATTCTAATTCTTTCATATTCTTACTTTTATTATTTTTTTGTTTTTTATTTTATTTATACTTCTCCCCCCATTCTTTTTAATTTTTTATTTTTGAGAGAGAGAGGATGCAAGTGATCAAGGAACAGAGAGGGAGAGAGACAGAATCCCAGGAGGGGAAGAGAGAGGGAGAGAGAGAGAAGCGGGGCTCACCAGACATGGGGCTCGAGCTCACCAACTGTGAGATCATGACCTCAGCTGAAGTTGGATGCTTAAACGACTAAGCTACCCAGGAGCCCCTATTATTTCTTTAATTGTAGCTATCTTAGTGCGTGTGAAGTGATAACTCATTGTGGTTTTGGTTTGCATTTCCTCAATGGCTAATGATGTTGAGCATTGTTTCATGTGCTTATCAGCAATTTATATATCTTTTTAGAACAATGTTCTTTCAGATTCTTAGCCCATTTTTTAATTGGGTTATTTATCTCTTTATGGTTGAGTTATGTGTGTTCTTTATACTAAGCCCTTATCAGTTTATGAATGCTCTGGATACTAACCCCTTATCAGATACATGCTTTGCAAATGTTTTCTCCCATTCTCTGGGTTATGTTTTCACTTACTGATAGTATCCTTTGAAGCACACGGTTTAAAAAAAACTTGATGACATCCATTCATCTACTTTTTCTCTTGTTGTGTGTTTGGTGTCATATCTTTAAAAAAATGCCTAATCCAAGGTCACAAAGATTTATGCTTGTTTTCTTCTAGGAGTTTTATGGTTTTAGATGCTGTATTTAAGTCTTTGATCCATTTTGAGTTAATTTTTGTATATGGTGTGAAGTGGCAGTCCAAACTTCAGTCTTTTTGCATGTAGATATTCAAGTATCCCTGCATCATTTGTTGAAAAGACTATTCTTTCCCATGGAACTGTCTTGGCATCATTGTCAAGAACAACTGGCATCTCAATTCTATTCCATTGATCTGTATGTCTA